TTTAGCTTTTGTCTAACCAAGATAAAGAGATGGTAACATATGAACATATTATATGATATGTGGGTCAAAAGAAAATACCTTTTTTTTTTGTCAAAAGCTAATTACAACTTCTAAAGGTGTCTCTAAATTCGATTAATAATAATTCTAATGGTATTTTAAGACATGTATTTTTTTTCATATATATTCAATATGAAGGAAAAGTATAAAAAAAACAACCAAACTTTTTATTTTGAATGATTAAGTCTCTAAAATATTTATTTTTTAAAATAAAAGAACCATTAAACTTTCTTATTTTGAATGATTCAATAAACTTTTTTATTTTGAATAAATAAACCATCAAAACTTCTAAAAGTCAATAACCTGCTAAGAATGTTTTAAAGTAACAGAAAAACTAGATCGCTTTTACAGTTTTCAAACTCTACGTCATTCAAGCAAGGTCGCCTCATCGTGGTCCGCTCTCTATCACCGTCAATCACTGCCATTGACCCTTGCCATTGATCTCCCTCTTTTTTGATTGTTTTTTTTTTTTGTTTGTCAATTCTCTATCTTTTTTTTTATGTCTGTACGGGGTGATCGATGACAGCGGGCAACGACGATGACGGATCGTATAGAGAACGGACAACGATGGGGTGACAAGAAGTGGCAAAGGGGAGCGGTGTCTTGTGTGCGAAGCGTTTGAATGGTCTAGGTCTAGAAACAGCAAAACTGATTTAATGATTTTTTTACTTTAAAACATTCATGTTTAACTTTTTTTATGTTAAAAATAAACTTACTCGGTAAGCGTTCCACTGTAAAATTTAACACTATCATTTTACTTACCGAATTAAGATTTTAGCCCACAAAAACGACATTGTATGCAACAATTTACTCCGTAAGTGCTTACCGTGGTAAGAGTCGTCGCCTTCACTTACCGGGTAAGACTTTTGGTCCTTATCCCGCTCTTACCAGGTAAGATTCTTGCTTCTTATCATATTCATCCGGTAAGGTAATGTGACTTGGTAAATGATTACCCGGATAAGTGTTGGTAAACTGCTCCCTTAATCATTTAAAATAAAAATAAAAAGTTTAATGGTATTTCATTTCTCAAAAAATATTTTAAAATTTTAATCATTCAAAATAAAAATTCTAAGAAAAAGAATGATTAGTTTAAAAGAAAGGCGTAATTGCAATTATTAAAAGCCATTATAAATGTTATTTTCAGATGAAAAGTAGCAACATCACCACGATTTGATCAGCCATTTGTTCTCTCTTCATGTTCATATTCACGTATCGGATCTTGTGCTTGGTTAAAAATAAACAATATCATTACATGTCTTGACTTTAGTCAAACAGTTTCGTATATTATCTTCATTATTTTATTATAAGCAATCACAATTTCAGGAGTAAACTATAAATTCGGCTCGTATTTGGTGGTTATAACATTTTTGTTTCTTACGGTTTCAAAATTATAAGATTGACATGGCTAAAGAAGAAAGATCTTGTTGATGTGCAGTAGGACTATGCTCTGGTCGACGAACTGTAACTGGTAAATATGTTGGTTCTTAACTATGTTGATACTCGACGAGTTATAGGATTCATATATATAGGGGTCTGTTCAAGGAAGAATTGACTAGTTTGTGGTAACCATGAGATCCAATCTCAACCAAAAATCAATAGATAAATTAGGAAATTTATAATTTTGGTAATTTTGAATTAAAATTTTAATGCAAGGACATTTTAGGTATTTTCTCTTCTCTCTCCTCTCTTCTCTCTCTGTCCCCTGTCCTCCGGTAATACCACTGTGATACCTAAAAATATTGATCATGTTAAACAAAAAATATAGTGTGATACCCAAGCACATATAAAATGCATTGTGATAACTGATACCACTGTGTTACACCTTTCTGATCGACCACACAAGCAACCTCAGTGTGATACTCAAGCACATATAAGATGCATTGTGATACCATTGTGGTATCACCGGAGGACGATGGCAGAAGGACGATGGTCGGAGGCCGGAGGACGGGGGACGGAGAGAGAAGAGAGAAGAGAAGAGAGATGAGATAAAATACTTAAAATATCCTTGCATTAAAATTTTAATTCAAAATTACTAAAATTATAAATTTCCTAATTTATCTATTGATTTGTGGTTAAGATTGGAACTCACGGTTATCACAAACTAATTAGTTCTCATTTGATTAGGC